CATTCATGAGTCCATACTTGTAGATGATAAAAATGGTAGGTAGAAATGCCTAGAGATAGATGATTGATGGTATTTAGGTAGGTAGGTAGGTAGATTGGTAGTTGGATAGATGGTTAGATAGAGCCCTTTTTATATGAAAATTGACAACTTTTAAATACAAAAACTGATGGAATTAGAACATCACATTTCTCAATAATCATTACTAATAACTGAGTCAGTCAAGGTAATCAATGGATACTGAATTTATTGGTTGGAAAGCTTTATGAAGAACAGAATATTTAGATAGTTATTTTAATGTATGCTCTAGAAATTAGGTTACTGAGAAATATAATGCTTTTATAATGGACATATTTGGGAGACACCATCTTTACTAAGCGATCCAAGTTAGTGCCACCAATAATAAATTAACATCATTCAAGACTCATGGTACACACTTTCCTGCAGAAATTGAATAATCTGAATAAGAAATGAGGAACTTTGTACTACCCCAAATTGGGGAACATTCTACTAAATTCCTGCTCTTTACTCTTCATCAACATCAGTGTTTGAAAAACAAAGACAGGCTGAGGAACTATTTTAGATAAAAAGACATTAAAGAAATTAAAGATAGATGACATTAAATGTAACATGTAATTGTAGATTGGGTTCTGGATTGGGGCGTAGTAAAGAATCATGTCAATAGTAACTTGCCTGCTTTCGATTATTTTGTGGTTAGAGTAGCGAATATCTCTTTCTTAATGAAAAAATGAGGAATTTAGTGGTAAATGGGCGTTATGTCAACACTTTGATCTCAAATGGTTCATGGGAAATACCAGTTCATAATAATAAGGAGAAAGAGAATGGTAAGGCACATATGAAGAAATATTAAAATCTCTTGGAACTGCGTAGATGGGTATAAGGCAGTTCTTTGCATACTTCCTGACACTTCTGTAAGTTTAAATTCATTTGATATTAAAAGTTAAAAACAGAAAACCATTCTGTGGGAGTAGGAGAGGCTTTGACATAGGAACAAGAATGATACCTTTCTCTGAGCTCATTTTGAGGTAAATAACTCAATTTTTATTGATTCTTCAGCTCTGACCTTTTATCGCACCTCAGCCCTAGAAAAACTGTCACGGAGGAATGGGGGGGAACCAGTCATGGGTCACAGAGTTCGTCCTGGTGGGATTCCAGCTCAGTGCAGAGACGGAAATGCTCCTCTTCTGGATCTTCTCCCTGTTCTATGCCTTCAGTCTGTTGGCAAACGGCACGATCTTGGGGCTCATCTGTCTGGACCGCAGACTGCACACGCCCATGTACTTCTTCCTCTCACACCTGGCCATCATTGACGTGTCCTATGCTTCTAACAATGTCCCCAAGATGCTGGCATACTTAGTGAATCAGAATAGAACCATCTCCTTTGTCCCATGCATTATGCAGACTTTTTTGTATTTGGGTCTTGCTGCTACAGAGTGCCTGATTTTGGTGGCGATGTCCTATGATAGGTTCGTGGCAATCTGTCACCCCCTCCAGTACACTGTCCGCATGAGCTGGAGAGTGTGCACGGTCCTGGCTGCCACTTCCTGGTCATGTGGATTTATCCAGGCTTTGGTACATATGATTCTCCTTCTAAGGTTGTTCTTCTGTGGATCCAGGGAAGTGGACCACCTCTTCTGTGAAATTCTGTCTGTCCTCAAGCTGGCCTGTGTTGATACATGGATCAACAAAGTGGTCATCCTTGCTGCTTCCATGTTTGTCTTAGTAGGGCCCCTCTGCCTAATGCTCGTCTCCTACACACGCATCCTCTGGGCCATCCTACAGATCCAGTCAAAGGACGGCCGCAGAAAGGCCTTCTCCACCTGTTCCTCCCACCTCTGCGTGGTCGGACTCTTCTTTGGCATAGCCATGATGGTTTATATGGTCCCATCCTCCAAGCAACGAGAAGAGCAGGAGAAAATACTGTCTCTTTTTCACAGTCTCTTTAACCCATTGCTGAATCCTCTCATCTACAGCCTGAGAAATGCTCAGGTGAAGGATGCTTTGTATAGGGCCCTGCAGAAGAAGGGGTCCTTGTGAAGGGTATATAGACGCTATTTGATAGGGGATTTCGTTTAACAATAAGTGGTTTTCTGAAGGAAACACTTAGAAAAAGTTCCCAATTAGAGGTTTGATATCAAAATGATAATTGTTCAAATTCTAGCTCTGAAAATAGGGCAAAATTCCATTGAAAGGTGAATCTTCTAAAAGTGAGAGTACATGTTAGGAAATGGGACAACTAAATTATCAGAATATTTAGTCTTTTAAACATATTCTCTTTTTTTTTTTAAAACCAGGAGAAAAATTAAAGGTAAGAAAATCACATTTTTCTACCTTATGTATTTTGAAATATGTGACTTATCTCCTTGTGGTAGCTAGAAACAGTATAGTACAATTAATGCCATAGAGAGAACTTCTAAAGTGGAGTGAAGTTTCAATACAGAAAATATAAGAGAGTTATATGAATCTACCTAACCAATTGTGAGGCCAATGAAATAAGAATTTAAAGAAACTCTAATTTCCTTGCTGGAGTAATTTAGGAGTCAGGGGTAAAATTTAGGGAAATCTTTAGTCCAACAAGAAATGAGGTAAAAAATTCTAAAATATAGTAAATACTTAGGATTTGGTGAAATGAAGAAAATTTATTGGTAAATGTTTCAATAGTTGTATGGGTATGGGTTTGAGCATTGCTCAAACTTTACGTTTATTCTTGGGTCACGAAAATTACTAATCAAGCAAGATTTAATCCTCTGTTGAAGTTCTTGCATGTTCCCCACCAGTATTTTTGTAACGTTTGAACCAACTGATCTGAAGGCGGTTTGGAGTAGCGCCAAGCAGAGTGAGACAGCTGTGATATGGCTGATCACCTCAGGGGTTAAAAGGATGGGGTGGGAGAGGATGCAGGCGAACTCTCCCAGACTGCTTCAGTGGGAAGGTCCCTGTGGGAATGCGGTCCTCGCCCCGGGAAGCCACTTCTGAAACTCCACCATCTGGCACTTTTTTGTGAGGGTGGCACTGCATCAGTTGAAACTGGAAAAAAGAACTGGTTGAGCATTCTTCAAAATTCTCTTAGGGGAAGGTCTAGATGCTCTTCACTCTTTGAGGAGACCGACAGTGGGCCCCACGTCGTCCTCAGTGGTTCCTAACACCCACTGCTCCCCTCGCTCCACCTCCACAAAGGCCTTGTTCAGTAGCACAAAGGAGCAGGGAAATGGTGCGGTCGGAATAATTCAGAATCCTTCCCCATTATTAAATTCAGACAGAACTAAGAAGGGACTCCCCATCAAAACTATTTTTCCAAAGGTTCCCTTAATTGGAGGTTATTTGTGTAACAGGTTTAAGTTTTAAAAACATACCCCTCCTTTGGACTTCGCCAACACTCACAACATCTATTAACAACTTTAGAGCTGTTTGATTTGTGTTCCCAGTCACGACTGCTGTCTTTAGCATCACACAGGGGAAGGGGCACGGGGAAGCATTTACAAATTGTCAAGTGCAGGACTCCACTCCAGACACAATTTCTATTCCATCAAATTCAAATTTCAGTATTAGACATTCAAAATTCATCTTCTGGTAGGACAAGTTTCATTTCTCATCATCTTTCACCAGGACCATCTTCTCAC